TTTAATATAAAAATAAAAAATATTTATTAATAAAATTAAAAACTTTTATATAAAACAAAAATTTTAATTTTTACTATATTTAATTAATAAAATTATATATATGATTCTATAATTTTGTTAACTATTATATATTAATAAAAAATTACTTTTTATGATAATATATTTTATTATTTTTTAATTTTTATATTTTTAGAAGTTAAAAAATATTTAATTTTAATAAATAAATATTGAAATTTTTATTATAATATTTTTATATTTTTTTTAGATTTATAAAAATATAATAATTAACAAAATTATAAAATTATATATATAATTTATTAATAAAATATTATAAAAATTAAAGTTTTTGTTTTATATAAAAGTTTTTAATTTTATTAATAAATATCTTTTATTTTTATATTAAAAATAAAGATCATAAGTTATAGTTTAATATATTTTTTAGATTTTTTCTGATAAAGTTCTAATTACAAAAATTTTTTATAATTAATTTTATATTTTAATTATAAAGAATTTTCACAATAATTTGTAAACTAAAATATTTATATAAAACAAAAATTAATAAAATTATATATATAATTTTATAATTGTTAATTATTATATATTAATACTAAAAAATTATTTATAATAATTAACAGAATTATAGAATTATATATACAATTTTATTAATAAAATATAGTAAAAATTTTAACTATAAAAAATTTTTGTAATTAGAACAACTTTATCAGAAAAAATCTAAAAAATTCAAAAAAAATATATATTAAATTATAATTTATAATTTTTATTTTAATATAAAAATAAAAAAATATTTATTAATAAAATTATAAACTTTTATATAAAATAAAAATTTAATTTTTGTTATATTTTATTAATAAAATTGCATATATGATTTTATAATTTTGAAAGCTATTATACAATAAATAAAAATTTTCAAGTTATATATAATAAAACCAGACAAAAATTTAATTTTTTAGTTCTAGAAAATTATTGAATTAAAATTTAATAAAAATATAATAGAATATAAGTTTTTTTATATTAAGTTTTCAATTTTTGTAATTAATATTTTTTATTTTATACAGAATACAAATAATAAATAATATATATTTTTATCAGATTCTTTAGATTTAATTTGAAAAAAAATTTTTTAATTTAATTATTTTTAGCTCTTGCTAAACAAGTTTTTTTATTGCTTTATTTTTAATTTAAAAAAATTAATAAAAATCACGTTTTATTATTATTAAAATTTCACTATTACTTTTTATCTCTTTAGAATATTATCCAATTTCAAAAAATAAGTTCAAAATTTGCAACTTTATCAACAAAATTTCCATTTGTAATTAATATTCAGAAAAAGATAATATAATCAATTTAATTATCAAAATATTCAATATAACTTTCAAATTTGATTACATATAATTAACAATATCAATTTTTCTCAAAGCAAAGAAGAAATAAATGGCTTGTTATTTTTCTAGATAAGCTAAAAAAATGAATTTGGCATCGAAATAATAAGTTTTTCAAATTGAAAAAATATTTTCTTTGATATATGCATACTGAAACAATCAAACTCTTTACAAATAATAATACTCTAAAATCAATAATTCAAAATATAAAAACAACTTAATTCGATGAAACTAGAATTTTCAGATAGATATTAATAAATAGTTTAGTCTTTGCAATATCAAAATCCTTTTAATACATCTGTTGCTAGCATGAACAAGAAGCAAACCATATTAAAAAGACTTTTCTTAAATATCAATCTAAAACATTTTTAATGCAGGCAAAATAACCAAACTGCACTCATCAAACGTGTCTGTCTGGCTACAAGAAAGATAAAACACAATTAATATTTTTCTGGGATATAACTTGACAGTTCTGAAAAGCTGAAACTACTTGTTATTGAAATAATAAAGAATTCAAGCTTTCTTAATAAAATAAACTGGATCTTATTTTCTGTGAAGTACCATACAAACAAAAAAGCATGGATATGGAATCGTGCTTTTCCACCCGAACAACAGATATTTTGCGTAAACAGCTCCAACCACCGTCAGAATCAACACAAACACACCCGGCCACAAAAAGCCTTTGCCATAGGCAAAACGAACAGCTCCAATCTTACGCTATCCACTGCTGTGTACAGCCATGATTTTCCTGTCCATCACAGAAACCCGCCAACGCCAGAGGGTTGATGAATACTCCTCACGTGCATCCATCCATAAAAGCCGCCATTGCTTCCCTGACCCTTTGGAGCAGAAAACACCCCCGGCCGCCGAAGCAAAGGATAATGAACGCTCCTCCCCACATTCACCCAATTCTTTCAATCGAAAGAATTGCGCAATCAACCTCCCGTGTCAGGATTGGGTAATTTGCGCGCCTGTTGGCTTCCTTGGATGCGGTAGCCGTTTCTCAGTCTGTTCTATATCCAATAAATACTACATGTATCGAGTTTAAAACGATCACCGTTTGACAACCTCGATATCCTTGCTGCTTCGCTTTCCACTACTTTTCTGTGATAGTTTTGGACACTTTTCGGTCCATTACTCCAGGAAGACATGGTTTCTTGTCGTTGGTTATCATAATTAGTTAATTCCGTGACTATTTTTATTGGTTGTCAACCATTTTCGTCAACGGGTGTTGGTGTTGATTGCAAGTTATCTGCTTTGCTGGATGTGATTTGCTGATGTTGGGCAGTTTTCAACACTTTCGTTGGTGGGAGTTTGCTCCGAGTATTATTGGACTCTTATTGTTACTGATGCCCGAGTTTGTTGATAGGCTTTCTGCAAGTATTATTTGGCTCTTAATGTTACTGGTGAATAGTTTCTGTTGTTTTGTGTTTCTTTTTACTTTACACTTACTTTGCTGACATTTCATCTACGTATAGATTTTTTGTGACTGCACCTTATGATTTAGCTAATCTAAGAATGACGTGCGATTATTGTGATCCACCTAGGTTCGAAGATTAGTACATCGGTTATTATACTTTGTAACATAACTTCTCAACCAGTTTGCGCACACCTTCTAAACTGGGAGCGACCGCTTTTCCCATCATTATTTGCTACAATGCTTGCTCTAACGCTAATATGTTTTCTTAAGTATACAAAGAATGTGAAATCAAAGAAGAAATTCACGAAGGCGCGGTATACAAAGTAATCTTTCTTTTTATGAATAAGTGAAATAGGAATCGATATCATGTCTTCAATTAAATCTCCATGCAAAATGTCGTTGCTTTTTCATTTTCGTTCATTTCTAACTCATTCATTTTAGACAACCATTACGCATCATCTAGTTCTTCATTCAATTATTATTCGTCAGATTTTCTGGTTTGCTTGTCCGCGTGTATTATTGGGTCAAGGTTAATGTCACGTGAAACAGACATTAATTTGAGTAGCGTAGATATTGAAAAATGAGATCCAAAAATGGTAATAATAAAAAATAATTTGCTATTCTTGATTTTGATATTTGGATATTTTCTTGCGTCTACTGTGGTATTAATAAATGCAAATGAAGAACCAGAACAACAAGTTCAGAGTCAACAAGAAGTCGCTGTTGATGGATTTTTCAGTCGTGGTGGGCATACAAATAATTGGGCAGTTTTGGTATTTATTGATTAATTTGAACTTTATTGGTTTAAGAGAAAAAAACTGTAATCAAAGAAAGATCATGCCAATTATTTGATGCTCTAATAAAAAATAATCATTCTATAAAAAAAAGGTATGTACATCTCGATTCTGGTTCAATTATCGACACATGGCCAACACTCTATCGATATATCGCACGGTAAAACGTCTCGGCATTCCCGATTCTAATATTATCCTGATGTTGGCAGATGATGTGGCGTGTAACCCACGAAACGTATTTCCCGCCACGGTATTCAATAATGCAGGGCGGTACTTAGATTTATATGGAGATAATGTGGAGGTTGACTATCGTGGCTATGAAGTCACCGTGGAGAATTTTATTCGTGTTTTGACTGGTAGACTATTATATTTATTGATCACTTTTTTTATTAATGATGTTTGCTAACTGATTGATTGATTGATTACAAAGGTCGCATATCTCCTGATACACCTCGTTCAAAACGGTTACTATCTGATGACCGATCAAATATCTTGGTGTACATGACTGGACATGGTGGTAATGAGTTCTTAAAATTCCAGGATGCTGAAGAGATTAGTAGCTTTGATTTGGCTGATGCATTCGAACAAATGTGGGAGAAGAGAAGGTACTGAATTTTTTATTGATTGATTATTTTTTTATTGATTGATTATTGAATTCAATAATTAATTATTGTATCAATTAACCGAAACACTTCCACCACCAAAGATACAATGAGATATTATTCATGGTTGACACCTGTCAAGCCAACACAATGTACAGTCAAATCTACTCACCGAATATATTGGCCACTGGAAGCAGCGAACTCGGTGAAAATTCGTATTCGGTAAATTTCTCCTCTCCTCTTACTTATCTTCTCCCTTCATTCTATTTGATGCAAATTTAATTTGGTTTTGAGCGTAGCATCACATGGACATCGATATCGGAGTAGCAGTAATTGACCGATTCACTTACTACAATCTCGAATTTTTGGAGAAAATCGATATGCAAAGTAAATCCACGCTTAAGGATTTATTTGAGTCGTATGATCCGGGTTTGATTCATTCTACGCCGGGTGTTAGAAGTGATTTGTTCCGACGTCCTTTGGATAAGGTAGAGTCTGATTCTTGATTATTAATTAATTAATTAATTAATTACTGAACCATTAATCTATCAATTTTTTCGTATTTACGATAATGAATGTTTTAGGTTTTGGTGACTGATTTCTTTGGTAGTGTACAAAATGTAGAACTCACCGAACAAAAATATAATCTGTCGTTTACGGCTGCTACTACCTCAACTTATCAACAAGATACGTTGAATTCGTCATCATCGAGTCAGGTGACTAACATTACTATTGATTGATGTAACTGTTTGTCATCATATGAAATAACCAAAATTTTTTATTGGATACATGAAAGTCAACTTCGATAGACCTCAACAAGGACAACTCAACATCTGAGCAAAAAGAACCCATATCAAAAAAATCACCAATTTCAAAAAACTATCATCTATTCCGCGTAGACACACAAAGACGACACCACAACTCCTTTTTCTCGTCATTATCACCATTTCTCATTACAACCGTATTGATTATTATTATTTCTATCAGATATAGTAAATATTCCTTGGGGTAGGTAACGTAGAGACATTATAAATAACAGTAAAAATACTGTGGTTTTTGGATTTGTATTTTAATGTGCTGTGCTAATTAACTAATTATTTATGCATCGTCAATACATGTAATGTAAAGTAGCAGTAATGTAATAATGTAGTAGTATAGAGAAAGAATCGAGGGTTTGAATTGTTCTAAAGTATTATTATCATTATTATTATCTTTCCACCCATCATTAAAATGAAAATTGTTTCCTTTGTTTGATTCATGCATTCAATTAATATATAGTCTATGTATCCCACGCATCCCACGCATCCCACGCATTCCATGTGTTTATGAAAATGTCTGATACCCCCCCCCCCCAAAAAAAACTCATCTGGTAATAATATTACTTTCGATTCTTCATTGACTCGAGTACTCGAGCACGAAGTAGTTGTTCGAGTCGTTCTTGTTCCAATGACGTCGTCTTCGTTGCTTTTTTTATTGAGGGTTTCTAGTCAAAGGTAATAATAATATAATAATTATTATCATTATTGTCGGATTTAATCATTAAAATAAAGAAAAACTTTAGCTAAGATATTATCATTCATAAAATGAATAAATATTATATTTATTAATCGTGAAAATAAAATAAAATCAAAGAGTAGAATAAAAGAAATTATTTATAGCGTTAACCTATACTTTATTGTTGATATCATCTTTAATGGCACCCACTCTACTACTATTACTACCGTCGACATCATTTTCGTCATCGTCGTCGTCGTCGTTCCATTTAGACTTGAATATTGGAACTTCGACAAGTTTCTTGCGGGGTGGCAGTTGTGATGATGGTTGTTGTGACGAGGATGGCTGTTGTGACTTGGGTGTTGTTGTAGTATGTTGCTCCCCATTAGAGTCATTGTCATTATGGTTATTATTGTTATTATGATTGGACGCTCTCTTTCTTTTAAGAGATGATTCATTATCATTTTGATTCTCTTGATGATCATTATTTCTTTCATTTTCGGGTGAAGAACGAGAATTAGGTGACAACAGTAGATTAAGTTTCACATTATTAGAAGATGTAGTAGTATTGTTGTATTCACTCTTTGAAGAGTGCCTTCGACTTTTATGTAATGATGATGATTCATCTCGATCGGCGTCTCCGCCGCCACGATCTCTACTTCTACTACGACTCTTATTACTACGACGCTGTCGAGATTCATAATGACGTCGTTCCTCGGGTCGTCTTTGATCACGACTTCGACTACGACTTCTTGAATATCTACTTTTATGTCGTTGTCGTGATGATGACGTTGTTTCCCTATTACTTTTATCATCACGGTCCCGATCCCGTTCACGAGACGGCGGTAATGAAGAAGGTGGAGGTGATGACCGAACAACTGCTGAACTTTTGCGTTCATTACTTTGACTCCTCTTAAGAGAACGACGTCTGCCACTGGTGCTGCTGTGTCGATGATTATCATCATGTTCTCGCTCTCGTTCGTCATCTTCACTTTTGTTACTACGAGGACTTCTTCGCGAGTCATTAGTATTATCATGGTTATCATTGTTGCTACGACTTCTCCGATGTCGAATCTCTTCATCCCTAGTTACACTTCTACTTCGACGACGGTGGTGATGTCGATGATGATGTCGAGATGTTGATTTAGAATCTCGGTCTCTTTCACGTTCGCGTTCCCGCTCCCGATCCCTATCTCGTTCGCGGTCCCGATCTCGATCACGTTCGCGTTCACGGTCCTGCAATTATAGACTTGTAAGACAAATAATCGTTGAACATAAAATAATCCAAACAAAATTTGATAATAATTATAACGCCTAACCAACATTAACCAACACCCATCGACCATCACAACAACAGTTACATAATCGTCATTATCATTAAGATTTAGACAAGAATTAATAGTAATAGAAATTACATACTCTCCGTTCTCTTTCTCTAACATCACGAAGTTTCGTCCGCTCTTCGTCTTCTTTATCCCTTCTTTTCCTTATTTCGGTCATTATCAGTTCATCTTGTTCCTTTTATTTATACATTTTTAATTGGGTTAACAAAGTTTCATGCGATTGATTTTAATCAGTTATATTGATAAAAATGGTAAGCATAAGAGTTACCCTCTTTTTACGTATTTCCTCCATTTTCTGTTCTAAAAACACGGTAGGGATACCACCAACACCTTCTTGCGCGGACAGCAGCAACTTCCACAGTTCCGCAACAAATATTGGTGCATTCTTTTCCAAAAATCCTGTTAGATTTATTTGCATCATTCGTGGGTCTAGGTCCTATTTTTTTGTATCGGTACATTTATTAATGTTAAAGACTAACATGTTGATTTTCCCGTTTTCTTTTTTTTTTTGATAAAGACTACTGACCGGCTCCTCCAATAATCCAAACACATAATTTATGACCACTTCATCTTCCCCGCCCAGTAATTCTACTACTTTGTTGGCAATCCATGGTTTGATTACTGTCATGTTGACTTTTTCGAGGTCAACCTATTAACGGATAATTATCTTATCAGCTTTTTTATTATATAAATGAAAGGTTTCTTCCATATCAAAAAAAAATCAATTATCGCTATCCATCTACTGAATAATAATAAATAATCCCTTTCTCCCTTCACGCATTGCTTTCTTTCTCTTGTCCAGAACAATAAAATAAGATAATCAAACGAATCAATAAATCCAATCGAACTTCTTTTCCGACTTCAATAAAAAACTAGCATTGAAACCAAATCAAATCGAATCGAATTGAATTGAACAATTCCATATTCAAATTAGATAATCAAATTACCTTTTTGTTAAACTCGGCAGGAAAATTCATACTTTTAAGCAATTTTTTCTCCTTGTCAGAGAATCGACTGTCTTGTTCAAGGCTGGTTCCCTTTTAACGCCAAGTAAAAAAGTCCCATGCAAAAAATAATTAACATACTCGAAGATTAAAAAACGTACGAAACAAAAGCGAGATTGATTAAACTGCCAATTTTCCGTAAATTTCTAATACATCAAAAACTTTTACTCTGTTGTATGAAACAAGTACCTTGAAGAAACCACCGCTGTCTCCCATCATTATTCTCAAATGTATATATGGGTTTTTCTCAAGATATGCGTATCAACGTGTAGATATAAGCGCAAAAAATTTAGGGTTTCTAAATATAGCATCATCTAAAAATTCCACTATGCTGATACGATACACGTGATTTAGAATTTAATCCTTTTATCGTCTAGAATTCATAAAACGACCGGTTTTTGATCAAAGGATGGAAGGCGGGGATTACGTACATGGCACTACACCAATTAATGATAATAAATGATTCATCAAATCACTATTTATTGATTAAAATAAAAAAGATGATATCATCGTGTATTCTAAATTTCTGACAAAATAGTAATACGTATTAAAATATATTATACGTATCAATGAATTCATTTGTAAAAAAAATCAATTTAATATATAAATATATAGAATTTTTTAATGTTGTTATTGATTGGAGGTAGACAGAATGTCAGAGTCGCCTTTTTATTTTGTAGATAATTAGAGATATTAGTTAGTTGATATTGAAAAATATTCTAATAAGACTAAAATTACTTATTACTGATACAAACCTGGATCAGTGATACTTAACACGCCAACACGAAAGTATTTGCCGCATGCTGTACCAAGATCGATGTTATCTTTTTTTTGAGAAATCAATAATTAAATCCAATTATTCGAAAAACAAAAATGAATATCGAGTAAAAACAAAAGCAAACTCACTTCCAGAATAATGATGCACAGTAGTCTTTGACAACATTGCATAGTATTCGAGTTCATGTTTACGTAAAGGCGGGCAATTACCAGAGATGATTATCAATTTTGCTATATTATATTATAGTATACGATGAAAAGTTTGGCGATATTGTGGTGGTGATAATGATAATGGTAATGATTATAATACAAATCCATTCATCCATCCATTTTATTCATCGTCAAAAGTTGATTTGATTATCAATGATGATGATGATAACAATAATTACGTAAAATATAGCGAAGAAAGAGGGAAAAAAAGATGGGTTATTCACGCATTAAGGGACTATCTTTACCACCAAAAAACAACGATGGAAAAGAACGAGAGGTGGCTCCTGTCCCTTTAATTTATTTCTTGTCAAAAATTAAAATAAAATTCTTTATATATACCCTTTCCTTGGCGTAAAGTCTTTAAGGTAGATTTATAGCCTAGAGTGTACTTGCCACTTTTCATGACAAGCGCTAGACGCGAGTTAATTGATTCTGTGGTTTTCTTGGTTTTCTTTATGGCCATTTTCTCTTAGTTGTCAACAGACGAGGTAAAGATAAGAATAAAAAAAAATTTCGCAAATTTGATCTATCGGCTGGCTTCTTGTTCTAACTGATGGTAGCACTGGGAGTTTAGCCAATTATGAACAATGGATTTTACACAACTTTCTATATAAAGACGCAAGTTCATTTGTTCAATGTCTGCGATTTTCCCAGTTTTGTTAGTAATTCTATACGAATGTCATTACCACCAAGTAGTTGAAGTAATTTATTTAAACAAATTTAAATCTCAACGAGCTGCCGTTATGCTATATGAACAAATACTACTATTCGCTCTGTTCCACGTAAAAGACAGACAGAAAAGAAATCTCAAAATGTGATATGATCAAAAATGCAAAAAGAATGAACTGCACACAGGCTTGAATACTCAGCACAATCGTAAACGGAATGAGCTCTTGCAATCGTCTAATGAAGAGCTTTTTTCCATAATCACGAAAAACAGATTACAGAGCTCAAACTTGAGAGCATGAAGCCGATTTGGGGTAGATCGAAAAATTCAAATTAGATTTAGAGAATCTTTAAATAAAGAAACAGAAACTCTGGAAAAAATGCACACGAATTACAACCACTTTCATCTGATCATGCTATTAGACATCATAGTCATCAATCATTTTCAAAGGGAAAATAAAATCACCGAATATTGATGCACTCGTATTTAGCCAAATAGAATTCATCCCACCAAAAACCTCCGACTAATCGATCCACTGGTAACACAGCGAACCAGTGCACGAAATTCAAAATCTAATGAATAGACCACGAGGACTTGAATATATGGTATACGGGAAGAAAGCTATCTGAAAGGCGACGTATATGATCGGAAATTGTGGGATGAGAAACGATCAATAAATAGTCAATTATGAAGAGCTGCTAAATAATAACAAAGAACCAGTATTATGAAAAAGATCTAACTGGCGTTAAGACTAATATCTGCGAACGAGCTCGAAAAATGCAGAATGCTGCGCTTGAAAAAACAGAAGCAGAGATCCATTTGTGTGTTCTTTAATTGATTCGCCTCTTAACAATTTATAATTGTTTTTACTTAAAAATTAAGAAATAAAAATCTGCTTTGAAGCTCGAGTGGTGTTTAATGCTTGTGATCCCGAGTAAAATCTACTTTACCGACAATGCCAAATTACAATATTCTAACAAGAGTAGAATTTGAATATTATCAATCTAACACAACATGAAGTTAATAACCTTGATTCTAACTAATTTTATAAACCTGGTGATTTAGGAAAATGCCGGGCGAGATTATTACGACAATAAAGATGCCAGTTTTTCTTTTGAAGTTTATTTTCAAATTATACAAATAAATATTTACGATTTTCTAAGGCATAATTAATAATTATGAGATCCTCGATCATAATTCGCGCCTCCTGCTCGCCTCAGTTTAGTAAGCACTTCTGATTCATTGAAATCGAATTTTTCATATGCAGTTATTTCGATAGCATAAGCCTTAATTGATTTATTTCATAAGAGTAAATATAAAATATGTATAAATGATCAAAAAGATACGATCAAATCATTCAACTAACCTGTAAAATCCGCTTCACGTCGCTAACATGAACCGACAGTTTCGCCTTCCTCATAACTTTCACTCTGCTTCCTATCCAAGTGATAAATACAAATTTCGTTCTCACCGATAATTCATCATTTGACACGTTGACGCGACAGTACGCGAATGCCGCTTGATCCTCTGACAGATTATCTGCTAATTGTGCTAGACCGCCTGATCCTTTCGCGTGGAGGATTAGCTTGTCGGAACGTTCGTTTTCGTATTGGAGTATCAACCTTGTTTTTTTGTAGTGATTGTGAATATGAAATCAGATTGTAATTCCGAGATTTTTTAAGACATACGAAAATAACAGCCCGAAAAAAGTACTGATAGATAGAATAAATTCTTAATTTACTGACCAGCTAACTTCACTTCTATCGTCTCTTACTTCGTCATAAGTTTCACCTGTCGTCAAACGATAATGATAAATTGGCGAATTAACTAATGAACAGCAACAAAAATAATTTATACATACGAATGATGGGATCCGAGACATCTGCCATTTCTACTATAGTCAAGTTTTTTTTAATACGAGAAGGTAGCAAACAAGAAAGAGTGGATTACTTTAAGAGGCTACACAAAAGTATATTGTCTCTAAATAGCAAATAAAGAAGAATATATATCGATATTTCAAAACTAATAAAAAATCCCAAGCTATTGTTTCGCGTTGGTTAGAAGTCTCGGAACTCGGTTTGTGTAATATAATGACGATTTTTGGCTTCATTATTAAAACAATGAAAAAACTGCCAATTATGGACAAACATTAATTCGTCAATGAATCTTTGGTTGGTATGTAACAGTAATGTTAACGCGCGTACAGAAAAGATCCTATTCAAAGATACGATACAAAAAAATTACATTCATGATTGTGTTAATTTATACTTTAATGAATTTGCCCATCTATACAATCGATCAAATGCTCCTTCTAAAGTTAGCGCGGGACGGACATCCAAATAAAAACTAATATTTTCAGGATGCTTAAGATCCGGTTGTCCCGAATAAAAATCTATAACATAGGTAACTTGTTTACCACATCGATCTATCACCCAATCATGGCGATCGAATGGAAGCTTGTATCTAGGTGAGAGTGTCCAAAAACATAAAAGTTGAAATAATTATATGGTAAAAAATGAATGGACCAAAAAATACAATACATTTACCCAAACCAACTAAAGATTTTTGCTTTAGGAGTAATAGCCGTCGCGCGTCCCTCGAATTTGACTAACTTTGGACCACCGCATTTACTTTAATAAAGATAAATCATTAAAAAAATGCCAAATTTGAAATTTGAAAGAATAAAATCCTAACTTTTTTTCGGTATGCATTTTCTCCCACTCTAAAATCTCCTGCCACGCTTTTTCATTAACCGCATTATGTATCGGCACTACTACACGCATATCTTCTTCACGCGGTTGCCAATTTTTTCGCTTCATGGCATTGAAAAACATTTGTTCTGAAGGGTAAACCCATAATTTTTCCTCTGGTGCATTTTCGGGTTTTGTGTTCGCGACAGGTTTGTCATTGGCAGAGCGTGGAATATTGGATATTTCACGAGTAGTGTCTAATATTACGCGTTGACCTGGCATAGGAGTTTGTTCTTCGTTTATGAGCATTAGGTTTGATGGATTTATTATAGTGTCGCTTGTACAGCCTACGTTTTTTGTCGAGGTGGAAGTTGTCGTCGACTGAGTGTCGATAGATTTATTGAGAAAAGGGTTAGTGTGAAGAGAACCATGGTCAACGGGACATGCGGAAGGCTGTTGTGGTTGTTGTGGAAACTTGTGATTATTTGAATTTGTAGAGGTATATGAAGATTTATCAGGAAAAGACTGAGAACTATGGTCAATGGGACAAACTGGCTCGGTTGTCGAGTTCAGAGTGTTAGACATTGTTTTGACAAAATTATTCTAGAACTTCTGCAATGACTCATAGAAAGCGACTATCATTCAAAAAAATTTTCATTGTGCACGCTTATCATAGAAAATGCTTCGACACGCATTTCGTCGTCTTCCATACTCTCGTCCAAAAACAATAAACCGATTCTTTTCTACTACCAAAGCACGCCATGCCACCACAGAATACGACGCACTTGTGCTGGGTGCGTACAAAGACGGTTCTTTTGCAGAGACGGCCACCAAAGAAATTCCACTGACTACTCAAGAGGCTATTCGACAACGGTTAAAGTTGTCGAATGCAAAAGGAAAAATCGGTGAAGTTCGTGTTTTTTATGGGGTTGAGGGGGAGGCTAGTAGTGTCCCGAAACAGATTGCTGTTGTTGGATTAGGGAAAAAGAGTAGTGAGAAAGGAGAAGTAGATTTGAGCGAGGCACTGGAAAAGGCTCGGCATGCGGCATGTATATTACAAGACTGAGATTTGTTATATTTTAAAAATAAAAGTAATTTTTGTCGTCGTCTGCGATTTAGGCTGCTATTGGTGTGAGAGTTTTACGTGATCAAGGAGCCAAATTTATCGGAGTTGATCCAATGACTCATGAACATGGTGTGTGTGTGTGTGTGTGTGAAGAAATTCATCTCAGTCAATTTGTTTATATTTTTATATCTTGGATATAATTTACCTTCAGGTGCAGCAGAAGGTGCATCTTTAGGATTATACAGATATGATAGCCTGAGATCCAAGAAAAATAAAAAATCCGAAGTAAAATTTGGACGTTACGGCGACTCACCATCATCAGAATCATCCGAACTCACATGGGAAACTGGACTCATATACGCAGACGCACAAAACTTTGCGCGTTATCTCGCAGAAACACCTTCAAATTTAATGACACCTTCAATTTTCGCTGAGAATGTAATATCGAAATTGGACGGCTTAAAGAACATTGAAATTCATGTACGAGATCAAGGATGGGCGATCAATAATAATATGGGAGCATTTTTAGCTGTGGATAAAGGGTCTACTGAACCGTTACGGTTTTTGGAGATTCATTACAAAGGTGGAAAAGAGGGGGAGAAACCTTTAGCCTTAGTTGGCAAAGGTAAGTATTTTCTATTTTATGTTTGAGGAAATAAGATTAAATTTTTCATTGATTCTCATATTGTATTATATATATCTTATAGGTATTACTTTTGACTCGTAAGCTGTAACGATTAATATTTCTATTTTTCTTTTAGTCATCAATTCATCTAATCCATGGAATTTTAATCTTCTTTCTGTTATAATATTATAATAGTGGTGGTATTTCAATAAAACCTTCACAGAATATGGGTGATATGAAAGGTGACATGGCTGGAGGTGCAGCAGTTGCATCGTCATTATATGGACTTGCAAAGCTGCAGGCTCCCATAAATATAGTTGCTTCCATTCCGTTGTGCGAGAATATGCCTTCTGGTCACGCAACAAAGCCTGGAGATGTTGTTAAAGCGATGAATGGAAAGTCGATTGAGGTAACAATTCCTTTGTTTCTTGGTTTTTCTTGGTTTGTAATTTATTTTGTTTCTTTATTTTTGATGCTTTTTTATTAGATTGACAATACGGACGCAGAAGGTCGTTTGATTCTTGCCGATGCCATTTACTATACAAGTTCAACGTATAAACCGCATAGTTTGATTGATTTTGCTACCTTGACAGGAGCAATTGGAATCTCGTTAGGGGAAGGTTAGTTAGTCAATTATTTAACATAACTAGTGTAATCTCAGATTATTGTACTAATGAACGAAGTCCAAAAAAGTATATGCCGGTGTATTCACAAACTCCGAAAGTCTATGGACACAACTCTCCAGCGCGGGCAAAACTACCCACGATCCTTTCTGGCGTATGCCACTACATCCTGCCTACAAAAAATCGATAACAAAGTCTACGGTCGCTGATATTATAAATAATAGTGGAAGAATGGGTAGTTCTTGTTCGGCTGCTGGATTTTTGGAAGAGTTTGTGGATGGATTGCTTGATGATGAAAAAGAAAATGATGACGATAACGATAACGAAGGAGTAGATGAGGCAAAAGAAGCAAAGAATCCTGACAAAGGTGATGATATAGAAAAAGTAGCAGAAACGAATGTTGCTCAGGATAAAATACAATTTGCTCATGTTGATATTGCGGGTGTTATGGATACAAATGATGATTCGGGATACACCACTAAGGGCATGACTGGTAAATGTTGCTTAATATATCGTTTCAAAAAATTATTCATTAACTATATTTATTTTTTAGGACGTCCTACGCGATCTATTATCGAGTTCGCCAGAAAGATATCTGATAGCAAATGATCTGGTTAATCATTCTTTTATGTGAACATTTTTTTGATTAAACAAACATTGTTATATAAGATGAGATAGAGAAAAGGAATCCTGTATCTTTGAACAATTAATTGGACACGAATTAATAATGATTCTATTCTTAATTATCCTATACCTATATACAATCACCAAACATTCGAACGGAGTATTTTTTGCTTTTCAGGCTTATTATGATTACCATTATTCGTCAATAGATGTGAATTATTCTTTATGAATTTTCTTAATTTATATAATCCAAAATGTTTTCCACCGTGAACAGTTCCCTCCAAAACATCGCGAATCTTGTCCACCCTCTCTTGCAACTGTTCACCATCAATCACGCCACCACCTTCTCGCAATTTCACTTGCAGGTCGCGTAAATTCGCATTCAGGAATGGTTTTTCTCCGGCATCTTTAGCAAATACGCGATCCACCACGTCGTCAAGGTTTTCAAGATTGACGAAACTTGTAGTGTTGTGATATAATTTAATTAGTTGTGATAGACGTTTTTCGCGTAAACTGGTTTCTCGTTTTTCATAATTGACTAATGCGCGTGCTCGTTTACGTTCACGATATGCGTCCATATCAAATTCGTGAGCGGAACTGAGAGAAAGCATTGTTCCAGCGTCACGTAGACGACGTGCTTCTTGGTGTTTCCGTATGAACTCTGGATCGGTAGTATATTGTTTAATGATGTTGTGAATTTCGATGTCCAGTTTCTCCTTTTTTTCCTCTTTTGAAGCTTTTATTTTTGGTCTTTCGGAAGATTGATCGTTTCTAATTGTTAGATACCTAGAAGGAGTAGTATCAATACGAGAAACAACAGGACGCCGACCCATTCTTTGTTCTCTTCGAGCCATTCGACCCTTATGTCGTTTTTCAGCCTTTTCTCGTTGCTTTTCTTCATGATCTCTAATATATTGCATCCGCAATTCTTTAAGATCATACTTAAATCGAGCTCTATCCGCATTCTCGTTATATGTAAAACTACGTGCTGCTAATTCCTTCACGGATGCTTTTTTTGCCATCGATACTACGCTTTCTGGTACTCGAGAACTTCTTTGTTTCACCTCTTGTTCTTTATTATGTAGTGTTTCTGGTGAGACGATCGGGCGTATATATGGTTGTTTTGTCAGTAGTGCAGGCACTGGCATTACTTTCATTGGTATCATTTTCTCTTTTCTTTTTGATTTCGATGATTTTGGTAATGACAAGTTTTCTAAAAGAATTTTGGATTGTCCACTTCTGTCGAGACTACTTTGAGGCATTTTATCTGGCTTCTTTATTTTTTTCTTTGTTTTTTGTTTTATCGGTGGTATGTATTTTGAAAGAACCTTGAAGGCTTTCATTTTTTTCTCTTGATTAAATTAAAAAATTAACACGAAGACGGAGTTTTATAAACAATTTTCTGCACTTTTGATTGGACAGCCTTAAAACTATTTATATGGTACTAACGCTAAAGTGATCGTAATATTATATTACATTTTCCCCCAATTAAACATTTAAACGATGCAACAAGCACAACCGCCGCTAACAAAAGCACAATCACCATTACCACCACAACCTTCAACGATTCCCCAGTTTGTAGTACTCCACGACAAACTACAGCAATCCTGGAAACATCCATTTGTGCACTATGTCTTCGAAGACGAACCGTTCCCTCCGCATACTGTGCCCAAAGACCACTGTATAATCGTCGAGTTTGCGCAAGACGGCGAGACGGTGAAACAAGTGTACTCGCAAAGTCATAAATTTCAAGTGACAAACTATAAAATTAGTTCGACGCCTACTTTTGGGGGTGGTAAAGAATCGGGGGGTGGTGGAGGTGCTCCTGCTGCTAGTTTAATGTTGACTATCGAGGGAATGTCGGCTGGGAAGTATGTATCTTTTGCAGTTTAATAACTTGGGACGATATTTGTGAGAATGATATTAATAATTTATTTAGACCGGCAGATACACTAGCATTATCACCGAATCCATTCTCATATCGCGAAGAAATGGATCAAACGTCGACAAATATGTTTGGATTAGACGAATTATTATCTGACTTCCAAAAAAGGTATTATTATGACCATGTTCATTTTATATTTGATCAAAAATGTTGTATAATCCTACATGCGATTTACTCAATCTTTTCTCCTTGGCTCGAACGAAATATAGAAACGATTTATTACGTCAAATACTTGGCTCCACGAAGAATTCAACAATTGAACGCTAATCATACAAATAGACTGCTAAACTTTATCACTTGACTCGTTCGTTCATTGTCATAGATTCTATCATATCGTACCTGTATATATCTATTTAGAGGTAAGTAGAATGACTTTTATTATCAAAAGTATTAAATTAATAAAAAAATTAAAATCTATATTAAGTAATATCAATATTAAATTATTTATTATCTTGATATCGTAAAATTTCGCGTGTAGCAGTGTTCAAAGAAATTTCGTTCAAGTCGAAATCATCAATTTTTGAAGCATGAATTGGTATTTATTATTTATTATACCAATCGCGCCAAGTAACCACTCTATTCATTTAACGATTCAGAGATGCAAATGCACGTGTAACTGTACGCTGTAATTTTTTTCGTGCAGCATTTATATCATCTTTTCCAACTGATGCCTCATTTGCAAGATCAAGAAATTCAAGTGCTTCTGCCAGTGCATTATCAATTGATTCTTTATCATTGGTCTTCAATTTCAACGCAACATTAGGTTCACTAAGTGTATTCTCAATCTACCGATTAACAAGATGCCATAATTAATAATAATAATAATAATAATAATAATAATAATAATAATAATAATAATAATAATAATAATAATAATAATAATAA